AGAGGCCGCAGGTTCGAGTCCCGTCCCCGACCGCAGCCTCCCCCGACAGCCGCGGTTTCGAGTCCCGCCCCCGACCGCAGCCTCTACCGACAGCCGCGGGTTCGAGTCCCGCCCTTGGCATCCGAAAAAGAGGCGGCAGCACCGACCGAAAGCTTTAATGAGTGCCGAGGTGGCCAGGCAGGCAGCAAGGGCACCGCGGCCACCGCGGCGCGGTGACACTGGCCGCAGGAGCCGCCCTGGGCAGCACGGAGCGCCCAGGAGGCTCCTATGTGGTCCCAGAGCCGGGGGGGCTTCAGTCCGGGCGGCCAGCGCAGCCCTGCCCCGTCCCCCCAACGGGCAGGTCCAAGGCCGGGTGCCGGCCGAGTCCGTGCGCGCACGGAGAAGGCGGCTCAGGCCAGGAACACGACGAAGACGATGAAAAAGACGATGAGAACGAGGAAGATCTTGACCATGAGCCAGCGGTTGGAGGTGACGGACTGGAAGTACTTGAGGATCTCGCCGTGGGCGGCCTCCACGTTGAGCTGCGTATCCTCCACGCTGGCGTCGATCCTGGAAGCGGGTGCGGAGCGTGGGTGACGCCACGCGGGACGCGGTGACGGGGGGAGAGAGGCCCCCCCGCTACCTCTGGATCGTCTCCTCCTGCTCCTTCACCATGTGCGCCAGCTGCTGGAAGATGGAGCCCAGCTCCACGATGGTGGACTCGATGTTCTGCATGGTGTCGGCACGGCTCTGGATGTAGGAATCCTGCGGGACACGAGAGTGGCGGCGGTTCCGAGGCGGCTCCCCGATGGCCGCGTGCCGGGGGAGCGGCTCCTCCCCGGACGCCGGGGCCCACCCGGACGCCGGGGCCCCCACCTGCTCCTCGATGAGCTGCAGCTGCTGGCTGCTCCGCGCGTCCATGTCGATGGCGACGTCGCGGCGCGGCGCCTCGTCCTGCAGCACCGCGGAGCCGCCTGCGACAAAGCGGCGCCTGAGCGGGACACGGGGGGGGCGGCACCCCAACTGGGGACCCCCCGGAGCCCCCCACTCACCCAG